AACCATCTAGACGGTAGAAAGTATATATAATAAAATTGTTCAAAATGATATTTTGCTGCATTAAAGTTTGTGATTCCCAATAAATATATTTAAAATTTTTCTTAAAAAAAGAACAACTTTGTAAGTCACTAGGTTTATGAAATGTCAATAATTCTGATTTTATTTACTGTTACTGTTTAGATGGTTCTGTTAAAAATTGAATACAAAAGATTAACAATTTTTTTTATTCAAGTCGATTTTTATATTATGCCAGGAGGCGGGTGCATTTTGAAAATAAGTATGAAGTTTCCACCAACAACCCCACTTTAATGTTAATGGAAAGTTATATCTCATTTGAAAGATTTTTTTATTTTCTATACAAACATGTTTCTCTTTTAAGTTTATTTTTCGATTGGGGATTTAGAGAAGGGAAGAAACCGCATAATACGAGCATCAAGCAAAGTAATTCTCAGGAACATAGATGAATAGCCATTTTTTAAATTTCTACAGTCGTTTATCGTTATAAATATGTCAGGTTTTGAAAACAAATTGTATTATTGAATGAAATTTTAATGATTGAATTGATTGATTTTGAGCATTGAATATTATGTTAACTGGAAACTTTCTGACTTATTTATTTGAAAAATTAAAAATAATGTTAGCGCCAACTAGACAATTAACAAATTCTAATATCCCTCAAGTGAAATGTCATGAGGGGGTTGTCAGCAGTCAATAATAAGTGAACTATCTACAAAGTATCATGAGGGATATAGTTTTTTTTTAGAACGCTCTGTATATATTTTAACATGAATGGGACCAGTCGTTTGTATACGTAATTTTAAGCCAGGCCTTATTTCTAGAAGAAATCACGTTCTCAAATATGAATATTTATTACCCCACTGGGGACAAAATTGTTTATCCTCAAGTTACTACACACATAACAGGAAGTATGGAAATACCAAGACCCTCACAATCTTCATAGTCTCCAAAATAAATATTTAACATCTGCACATTTTTATCGCACATACTGGAAAATAGGGCTTGTAGAGGGACGTGTTTATGCCTTAGCTATCTCGTTATTAATATTTAAAGTGCATTCTCAGATAACCATAAAAAAATAGGTACCTAAGACCTGTTAAAATGCTAAAGTGTTTTTTCCGCTAGCCCAATGATATAATTAGTTTCAGTATCATACACGATTTGATGCACTTCATTATCGATTTGTTGGTAGTCTGAAGTTCAGGTTTAACCGGAAAGGTTCAACTCTTCCTGAAATTTTTGCATGTAAGGTCAATTTAAAAAAAATCACTCATCCGTTTATCCGTTATATTCAAGAGCTATTTATAAATTAAACAATTAAACATAAAAAAAATTATGTTTATAATATTTATATATCTAACTGAATAAGGAATATCAGATATAAGAACACCGATATAAGAATAATTATTCAGAAAATTTAGCACCTTTCTAGAGTAAACTCCTACCCAGCTATAGGCTGATTCAAAATTCAGTACAAAGAATTTAAAGACGTATTTTTGAGTATAAAATAAGACTTTTTTTCCTATAAACGTGGGCCCACAAATGCTTAGTTTTCGATATACAGGGTGTCAAAGTTTTTTATTTTTTCGATTTTTAGGAATAATTTCCAAACAGATTTGAATGTTGGCATAAAACTTGGGGTACTGTTTTTTTTTAGGATGCTAAATTTAAATATGTCATTGCTGTATATAGAAAACTTAGCATTTGTGGACTGTTCTTAATACAAAATTTTGAATCAGTTTGTATATGCTTTTCTTGCAATTCTCTAATTTGTATAGATTGTCCCTCGCGTGTTCCTGAAAGCTTTTCACTCGGTTTTCAATCATCGTTTAGGTACATAATTTAAAAATCCTTATTAATGGAGATAGATAAGTAAAAAAAAAGTGAATTTAAATATGTAAAAGACATTGAAAAATGTCAAATTAAATATGTTTTGCAATTTTTTAGTGTTTTTGGTTCTATCGAGAGTTCTATTATTGTATAAATTATTCAGCATATACTGGGGGCGAGAGAGATCCTCTTTTCCTCGAAATTTTGTAATTACAGTCATTATTTCTGTTAATAATTAAGATATACGATAAAAGAAAGCGCATCAGTTTATTGCAAAAGTTTTAACTCTCTTGAACCCTGTAGATTTCTGCTGATAAGTGAAATTTCAACCAAAATTTGTACCCACCTTAATGTCGTTACTAATTCAACAAAACAAAGCTAACATAGTTTAAAAAAATCGCATAAATCTGATTAGCTGCGAGAAAATAATCATTCAAATATGGGTTCATTTTTGATTAACTTCGAGGATTTTGAAAAACTCGGAAAAACTAAATGAAAGTTAATTAAGTATAATTTTGACACTTATCTCTTTTTATATTGATACAAATTTAAAACATAGAATAAAATGCAAATAACAGAATTGTCAGCAGAATTTCAAAGAATTTGGAAATGTCACTTTTTTAAATGAAACTTCAACCAATCAAAAATTACTGGTTGAGGAAAATTTGAATTGATGCAAAAATGTGCCAATAAGCAAAACATAATATAATCTTTTGGAATTAGCATCTGACGGCAGTGACTGAAAACTACTGACGTTTTGCAAATACCTATTTAATAAGCAAGACATTACCTCGATTATTACTTTTCGAGATGAATCTTGCCACTTTTCAATTTGCAAATCAAATGCTCTGACAGTATATCGAGTATTTTACATTTTTAAATTCCTTCTGCTATTCCATAATTTTTAAGGGAAACGAAACTCTTTTAATGAATTTTACAAACTCCTAGTCAATTTTAGTTACATAGCCGAATATAACAGTGAAAATAATGAAGTGTTATATGAGCCTCTTCAATTCGAGTTTACCCTCCAGTTTATTTATTGCAACTTAGTTTTTTCATTACCTAAACATTCTGAACTGACTTTAACTACTATATCTATTAGCGTAATCAATGTTCTGCATATTGGAACTAGTTTTACTTCTCGTAGGTACTTCCAGAGAATTAATGTTAATATTGCCCACACTTTCGAAATCGTACCTTGGAAACTGAAGATTGTGGTTTTTAGTCCCACATGTGACTCAACAGTCACACCCTGGTATGATACAGGTCAACTCTCCAATTTTAACATTGCAATAGGATAACAAAGTTTCAGTACTTTTTATAAAGAGATTCTGGAAACCAAGGAACAATTTCTTTTTTACTTATGGTGAAAATATATTTTCAATTGAACATCTTTTTTATCATCGTAACATTTACAGCGTAAATTTTTAACTTTCTGTAGAATACAAGAAGAAGTATTCAATTCAATTCAATTAAGTATTCAATTAAAAGTAACGGATCTCTCTGGCAATAAAGTTAGCTCGCTTTATAAATAAAAGTGATCTTATTAATAACAGAAAATCGCAAAGAAACAACCGGAAACGTATTTACTTTAGAAACTTCATTTGTCTACAATTTTCTTTTAGAAATATTCAAACATACATGGCGCGTTACTACAATATGTTGCGAGACTCTGAACTCGTATCTTAGTTCAAACTTTTTTCATCAATCTATAGACTTTGCGTGTTTGCGGTAAACGAACGAAAAGAAACAGAAATTATTTACCTGAATATCTGACCTCCTAACTTCGATGTACAACCAGTTATCCGTTGCAAAAGCAATAGCTAAAAGAGCAACCGCTATGATGGAAGTGACTGTTGCCAAACTGAGAGTTACGGCCGAACAAGGCATCGCTATCAGACAATTTCCAACAGATCACAAAGTAATAACACTTCGAACACAGATATCGGCACTAAGGTCACCGGACACACGGTTATTTAGGTGCTGACTGTCCCCAGGTCATGTTATTGGATTTAAGGAGGGTCGAAATACCACCACGAAACGTAGCGAATTCGCTTGCTGCTCGACGAACACTCTGAAAGTAGATCTTCGAGCTCAGATGGCACTCGAGGAAGCGAAGGCAAAGAACAGGTTTCCCAGCACTACTACTACCTGCGCGAGAATAATGCAGGGTAGGGCTGGCTCTATATTATTGCTTGATGCATAAATTTGTTGAGAAATTTCTATGTGAGAAGTGTCACGGAAAGGAATTTATCTGGAATTTGTGGCAATCGTTTTAATATTGTATTCTTCGTGTACTGCATACAGTCTAAATATTTTTTATATGCATGAAAATTTAATTCGAGCAAAGTTAGCTACAAAAGTTATCCGTTAAAAATTAAAAATCTTTTAGTATCAATGATTGACATTTTGCATACTTAAATAACTTTCAGTATGCAAACAGAAGATTAATGTAGGTTTTCACACACTCACACTGAATCTGCGGAGCTCACGAGTGAAGTGTTTTGAGGAGTGTTGCTACTTGGAAGCCTAGGTAAGCTAGACATTGCAACAGACGTTAATACTTTTTCATCGGAGTATGTTTTGCTACTGTTTATCAACGCCTCATGTGAGAAAAAATACAAACGCTGACCATTGACCATTAGTGCGCTGACCGTGAGCTTCCGTCTGACTATTTTCAGTTATAGCTGATCAGAAGTAGCAACATAGACAAGGTTGAACATGTATTGATATTTACCAATTTCCGGTTAGATGACTCCACCATCTCATGGCCTGCAAGCTAACGCTTGCAATATTTTCAAAAACCCTCCTGCCTCAGTGCAGTAAGCTTTTTTCGCGACTGCGATCAAGTATTATTGTAAAGAATAGTAAGAAATGACATCAAACATTTGGATCAACCTCTTGGTTTTGTGCATTTATATTCCACGGTATTATTCTGTAATGCTTTAAATTTTATAACGACTACAATTTCAGAAATTGGACATCTAGTCCTGCTGTTGACTTTATATAAATGTATGAAGGTCGGGAGGATTTGGAAGTCCATAAGGAGTGGAGCTGGTGATAAGGCTAAAAACGGAGACGTTCCTTAAGCCAAAATTTATGACGACTAGAGAGGCTTTCAGACTCTCAGCGGAGGTTTAAAAATAAATAATAAAATATATGTTTAGAACCGTATTAATGCATCTTATTGTAAATAAAAACCGTTTAAAATATTTCTACCTTGTTTCCAAAGACCTTGATAACAATTACAGACAGTCTTAATCAACTTGTAGAATACCACATCCTAAACCCGGTCTTAAACTTATGTCACGGTTTTAAAACATTTTTAAATAATAGCACTCTGCTGGTCGTCATATCAGTGTTAGGAATGAATTTCCAATTTTATTATAATCAGTAACCGCAAAATTGTTTTTAGGAATGCTCTTTTATGATCAAACTTATGAGTGCATGGTCTTCTGTCATCCTAAGCTAAAGTAGTACCTAACTAAACTGATAATTTTTTATGATTGTAGGCTGAAGATGTTTTAAGGATGTTTTCTTTTTTTAGAGACAATCTTCATGTCTAACCTCGCTCAAGTAATTTATGTTTGACATGTTCTTTTGAGTTGAACAGAAGAGTGAAGATTCAATTTTTGTTTCTAATACGACCATTGTTTTCTAAATTATTCTCCACGTTTGAAACGACCATCTGACTTTGATGATGATCAAAGGGTACAGTGTATTTAAGCGAAATCGATAAATAGCTATTGATTGTTTGTACTTTTTTTGCTAGTTTGTCATTGATTAATGTGTATGTTACATTCAACTTGCTTTAATATATTACGTATATTATTTAGTTCACGTTTTCCGTGATATCTCCAATAATGTCCCTGAGTAATATTCTATATAAAAGAGACCACCTATTCTTCAAAACTGATTTGAATTTCTTTCTAGGCCGTTGGTTTTCCCCAGACTCAGATTTAAAATTTCACTGAAATGTTAGGAATCGATTGTAAAAATATATATAAGAGCAGAAAATAATAAAATTTTGAATATTTTGCAATTATTTAAAAAAACATCCTTCTCCAAGGAGTCCCGAAACAGTGTGGCCGTTTGCAGCCTATTGTGCTTCCTAGTAGTTTTTTTTTTAAACAGCAGATTATATGATNGGATGTACAGGGGACCCTTACAAATACAATTTTGTATAGAAAAAATCAAAAAGGGCAGTTCGAAAATGATTTAAAAATACACTTCTGCACGGCACTGGAAACTGGTCGACTATAAAACCTGACCTCGCACAATGCGACCGGCATGGCGGTATGATAAAAACGGACAAAAACTTTCGCAAATAAAGAAATAAATAGATTTTATAGCACCTATTTTTTATCGGAAAATTCAACTGCTTTTGCCTTTATTAATTAATAAAATTAATTTGTGTTTTTATATAATGAAATCATTTGACATACCCGATGTTACAACAAACAATTGTTCAAAATTTTATCGACCAACGTGTAAACACATTTGGGTCCATCTTATTCAGTTTATACGAACTAACACAAATGTTGTCTTGCTTCACCATAACACAAATGCTTCACCATAATATAATTTTCGTCTTGCTTCACCATAAATTAAAACGATATCCATCAACTCCGAGTTGCTATACACGCAAACCATGTTTGACACTAACTACTAAAAACCTATTGTAAACACTACAGATAATAGGTAAACACTAGATCAACGACGATTGCAAAATCGGATTTCAGTATTCGGAGTCGCTGAGGCCACGTGGCTCTCCCGGCTTATTGCGAATGACGCTAGAAACTACAGTTGTCCAGCTATGTAGTGGTTCAATGTACTATATCTTCAATAATTTTTTTCTCGAAAACTAAGAGGATTTTACAAAAAAATTTTTTACGATATTAACTCCATTTCTCATGCCGCATCTATTCCCAAATTTGTTTGGATAAGTTGTGAATCACCCTGTATATAGGAGCAGAAAATAATAAAATTTTGAATATTTTGTTCCTTCGACAATTATTTAAAAAAAAACATCCTTCTCCAAGGAATCCCGAAGCAGTGTGACCATTTGCAGCCTATTGTGCTTCCTACTAGTTTTTTTAAACAGCAGATTATATGACTGTAAAAAAAATCCTCGTTTCGCTCCTATTTAAAATAGGTAGGTAAATCGCATGAATTTTCAGTCAATCGATAGTTTAAAAGCCGTACGATTATACTGAACCTAATGTCCATGCTCAATATTTCAATAATTCTTTTATGACAAGATGAAAACTTCTGGCGCATTTGCTGGTTTTGAGTCCCATTATTCATTGGTTTTTTGTTGATTTGTTTTTTGATTTCCTTACGCCTTTATATTCTTGTACATAATAGATACCTACTTATTGCAAGAAAGTATTGTATTATTTCGACTTGGTGATAATCTTGGTGTATTCTAAAAAATAGTTTCTCAAAATAACACCAAGTGTTTAATCTAAATAGAATCGTGACTGAAAATTAGTACATCACTACTCCCACATAAAAGGGTCAGAAACATCAAACTTTTTTGGAATACGTCAATTTATATTGCTTAAAATTGTGGCTGCAAATAGATTATAGTATGTAATAAATAATAAATATAGGTAGGTACATAGGTAATTGTAATTTTATAAAATATATTTTTTCCATTAAGTAGGTAACCTAAATATTTGTTTCAAAAAGAAATACGGTATCAATGTTACTAAATATATAGAAACTCAAAACATGAAAATTAACACACATCACAAATTAGCAAGAAAATCTTAAATAAATTAATCCAGAGACATTTCGTTTTTGAGGAACAGGACATAGAATTGAAATTTGAAAAAAAATAATAATTTTACTACAAAAAAAAAAAAGAAAAAAGAAAAATTGACTGAAGCGATTTCAATCAAATTTAGCTAAATTTTGATGAAGAAATGTCACTTTTTAGATGCATGTTGTGTGGTTAAAACTATCACACGCGCGACTATTGGCTAGCCAGGGTTCGCAAGGTAAAAGCGGACGTAAAGTCATATATTTACGTCCGTAAATAATATAACATCTAAAAAGTGACACTAAATCAAATATATTCATTAGCGAGCGAAGATCGTCGGAAAATTTTAATATGCACCTCGGTTGAAATCTTAATATTAATTTTAATAAAGAAAATATAACAGTGTAACTATTAGGCTTCAATTCCTATTTAAGTAAATATAAAATATTAAAAATAAAAATATTGAGTGAAATAAAAAACAGCTGTTTGTGTCTGTCTATCAGTTGACTACGACAAAAAAAAATAGTTAGTAAATATAAGCGTAACCAGCGACGGCTGGTGCGGGGGAGTTCTGGGGCGCCGCCTCCGCCGCTCCCCTAGAAGAAAAATTTAACTTACAATGTTATATAATTATATTATTATTATTATATATGTTATAAGTAAATACATTAGCCTTACGAAACACGAAAAGAAATGTTTAATTTGTAATGTGCAGTTAATTTAACTCGACTTGCAAAATTCGTTTGCAACACTAAATACGAGGACTCCTCGTGGCTCGCCTCTACATCCGTAAAGTGTTTACAGTGGTGGACATGGTTACCGTCGCGCAGCAGTGAAAGACGGATTGAAAGTAGTGCTTATTTACCATGCAGTTTGGGCTCTGTTTAATCCGATAGTAACCAAATAAAAGTTATTCTCCGATTTATTTTCTTATTAAACGTAATTTGTTCAGATGGGATGTAAAATTTTGTTACCTACATGTAGTTTCTTGTGATTTTAAAAAATTGTAAAAATTTAAATTGAAAAATCAATGGTGCATGCGGGAAATACCAAACATTAATGAAAAAGTAATTGAACAATTTATTTCAGCAGAGGAATGAATTTACACTATAAAAAATAATGATGAGTACGTTTTCTTTATATTTCAAGAGTCCTTAAAATAAAACTAACCAATTTTATTTGATTTTTTTTTCAATACGTTGTACCTAAATTATTCTATCCTCCCTGGTATGAAAGTCAAGAGCCGTCACTGTGCGCAAGCCTTTTCGAATCTCAAGGTCGGTAAATCCTAATTAAATTTTTTATTTCACCTATTCCTCTGGAAATGTTTTCGCAATGAGAGTTCTCGAAATGTGCCTAGAAATTATAATATTTTAAATTTTAAATGATGTTTTCATAATAAAAATATTTATAATTTTGATTGCAGACAGTGAGTCCGTCTCTGTTTTCGTTAGAAAGTTTAAACAAAGGATATTTATACCAATTGTAAACTGTATTTCATTCCTCACTGTAATGTTGGTTGTATATGTCTCAAATATTTGGGTTAAATTTTTTGATTCGTGCAGAGTAGTCGACGATACAATGAATGTGTTTATAAGGAAGTATAACCCACATATTCAAAATTTTTTCTTCATTATTATGCTTAATTTATTCTACCAATGTAACATTTATCAATATGTACAGGGTGGACCAAATTCGATAAGATTTAAAGGCAAGTTCTATCTGAAACTGAAAAAGGAGAAGCTTATAAAATTTCTTCTACACCCACTTGTGTTCCATTCAAAAATAAATCATCTATTTTCGATGCGATGCTTAACTCAGAAACAGCGGAATAGTCAAAATAATATTTTCTGTCGAAATGTTATGTATCACTGAAAGAAAATATGCTGCAGCCTGCGCCATTTTTTTTTAAATCTGGACTAGAAAATGTACACCAGATTTTTTCCTGATATACCTAAATGTCTTCTGGTTTTTAAGTTATAGGAAGGACAGCGTTACACAATTATATAATCAATCTCTAGGGAGCGGACTATACTGACATAACACCACAGCCCTATAACTCCAATAACCACATTACGTAGTAGTTCGACTACTTGATACAAGGAACTTAGTCTATATCGTTATTGGCTCCGTTTCTTCATCTGCAGCAGATTTGAAGCTTTATTTCGCGTATGCTAACCCAGGTCCCTGGAGTCTCTAGAGTCTAGATCATGATGGCTTTCATGCCGTCATGGCAGACACATGTGGAAGACATACGAGCCACGGTTTCGGGTGCCCAGGATCGGCGACTGCACGGTCGGGGTGCGAAAATGGGCTCCGAGAAATAAAGTTTCATTTGGCATGATATTCTTTAAATTGGCGGAGAATGTACGGAGATGATGAAACTGGAAACCAATAACGATATAGACTATGTTCCTTGCATAAAACAATCGAACTACTGCGTAACACGGTGATTGGAGTTATGGCATGATGGGGCCATAGGGTTATGGGGTTACGGAGTTGGAGGATTATAGGGTTAAATACATTATGTTTACAGAGCCCTGATATATTCCGCGATTAGAGATCAAGTCAAATCAATAAGTAATGTGGTTACTGGAGCTATCGGTTTTATGGGGTTAAGGAAATTTGAGGTTGAATGTATAGGGTTATAGGGTTATTGTGGGTGCACAGCTCCCTTTACAGAACCGTAGTGTGTAATATATGACGGCTTGGGTTATGAGGTTATATGGGATTATCGGTAAAACCTGACGTGATGGGGTTATGTGAATCACGGTTTCGGATTTAGCGACCTCGAAAACATGTAGTAGACATATAGTCTGACCTCCAGACCCGAAAAACAATTTTTTTGTGTGACTGCGTACTTATCGATATTGGCACCGAGAAACACATTTTTTTACACTAATTATACTTCTATTACACGTAAAACAATTATAAATAGGCTATATAGTTTTTACTTAGTATACTATTCTACACAGGTGAACAGAAATATGGGCTTTTTACTTTTAGCCGAGACGGACGGGATAGTACCCAAATTGCTTGATGCGTCATAAAGTTTTGTCCTGGTGCAATTCCAATATAACTTCAAGTTATTATTTTTTAAACCGTAAAAATCGAAAATTGAATTTTTAGAATTATTATCTACGTACATACAGATATATACTACAATATATACAAATTTCTTTCCCCGCCTATAATGTCGATGTCAAAATTGATTGATGTGTACTTTAGACCGGGCTCTAGTTATGATATAACACAATATCTAGAGACACAATCATGATTAAAGGATATAGGTATACGAGTACATTATTATAATGTATTATAAACATCCTTGGTTATGAGTATAGCAATACACCTTTGTATATATAGTTGCCTAACTTTGCGAATTATAATAATTTGAGAATAATTTACAAAATTTTTAATACCTTTAAGACATTTCGATATTATTTAAACGAGGAAATTAAAAGATCTTTTAATATTATTACGCTCTCAATGGATACTCCGTAAAAATATTTTGTGAATTAAATAAACGGTAAGTGGAAGTAGTGTTGATACCTATGGTTAGCGATTTGATGTTGGCAGTAAGTGTTAGCTAGCAAGGCGGCGGACTAAAGAAATAAATACAAATTCCCTGGGTTGTCAAGTTCTTCAGTTTAGTGACTTTGGTTATATTTTCTGTCTTTTTGTCTGGCATTTGATGGTTTATGAACCATGTATGACCAGGAATATAAAGTGAAGTGAGTTAGTGGTGTGTCTGCATTGAAAGTGGAATTTGTGGCGTAGTTAAAAATTTGTCATTAATAAGTAACGACAATAAACTATAATAGTTTAATAAAATGAACGGAGAAAATGGTGACGAAAATTGGTTAAGCAGCTGGGAACAGCAGTGTGCAGATTCACTAGAAGAACAACCAAATTTCGAGCAATCCTTGATAGCAGAAAATAATAACACTCACAGAAAAATATGGACTTCATTTCAAGACTCTGCAACTGCTGTGGCACAATTATACAGGGGTAAGACTACTTAATTTTAAAGGTGATAATCGTGGGTGTTAACAATATTCCCGACATTTTGTTGACATCTTAGGTACCTATTGATTGATAATCAGCTGTGCAAGGTTTTTTGTTAGGTTATAGAATAATTATACTGCTATTTTTAGTTATATTAAAGTTTTTGTAGGGTATATAAAATTGTAGATGTTTTTGTTAAACATGAACCTACTTACATGTATTTTGTGCCGTAGTTGTAGGAAAGCAGTTAATTTATTTTGTGCCTCAGTCCTCAGTTGATAGGACATATTTCTTTATTATAACATTTTGTAATGTAGTTCTGTATGTATTCTAGCTATTATATTAATTAGAATTGCATTATAATTTCTTTGACTTGATAAATGTTGCCATTATTTAGAACTCTCTAAAAATTAAAATATGAAAAACTTGTATCTTTGTTAACTAATATAATGTATTTCAAAAACAAAAATTTTTTAATAATAATTACAAAAATATTGTTTTTTTTTAATTTTCTTGACTTTTTTGGCAAATCTTCATTATTTACCTATTCTACTTAGGTACAGTCCGTACGATATTTGTTGATATAGATATAGTAACTGCAAAATACAGTATACACTGCAAGCTGCTACGGTCAACGCCACACTGCCAGTGTCTTTCTCCTCAGGTGTAGAATGTGATTAATTATTCTAAGAAAGTAATGCAGGGGTCTTCTTGGAATTCTATCGCAACAAATATCATACGAACTGTAAGTAGTTATATTTCCATTTAGATAAATATTTTTAATTTTTTTAAATGAGTATGCTTCAGAAGTAAATATTTTTTTCTGTAGACTTTTACATTGTATTCCAAACTGAACATTTTGGATATTTACAAATAGGTTACACTTTTTTTCTGAACAGTCCACTTTATCTGAAACTTTATCATAATGCCATTATACTTTGATCATTACTAATAAAATGATCGATTATAAAATCCTATATGCAAATGTAGATAATTAATTTATAAAAAAATATTAACAATTTTCTATGGTAGGAGTTTAAAATAATGTTCCTTTTTACAGTTGTATTCTGTCGACTTCAAATTGAAAAACATTTTTATTTCAGGTATTGTTTTGTGGTAAAGTTGAATTTTCTTTAAATATTTAAGTTTCTTTTAGTTTTGAATAATCTTTGTATAAACACTTTTATATGATTTTAAACAACTTAAAATTTTGAACAACTTGAAATTTTGGTGTTTTCTATTGTTGATTGTGACAAATTTTATTATTATTTTATAATAGCTCACATATTTAGCCTTATTGTTTGCAAACAAATATATAAAATCTTATTTACTGCGGCATTTAATATAATAACAAATTGTTTGTGGACGACTAATTTTTTTTCAGATCGATACTCAGGTGAGCCCGCAACTATTTGGTTACAATTTCAAACTGCAGCAGGCACAGTTACATCATTATATAGAGGTAAACGTATATATTAAATATTATAATGAAGTTGATTAATAATTTTAATTTCATGTTAATTTTATCTAGAATCTTGTGAAGGGTTGAAACGAACTAATGAATTAGCTAAACAAAGTGGCTACCAGAAAAGGAATAATGAACTATTCAATTGGGCAAAGAGGAAAAGACGTTTAATAAGGAGAGAAGATCTTTTAGCGTACCTTGCAGGGAAACATCCACCACCACCTTCAAGACAGAATCACCACCATCACCATCACCACCACTCGCATCACAGGCAAGGAATTTTTTTTATTAATTTTAGTAAAGTAATATTTTCCAGTTGTCACTATTTTTGTAGTAATTATTCTTGCACTAAATTTTGTTAACTTCAATGAATGTCACAATCGAGGAGGAAATCGAGTAATGCTAGGTAGTATTCGAGTAATACTTGTATGTATCCCAATTATAAGAAAAATTAAATTTTAAGCTGATGACAAAAACTTTACATTTTGCGGCTAGTTAAAGATTGCTAAAATTATAGTTTCTTGGAAGGTAATGAGCCAACAATTCTTTATATTGTTATTTTTACGAATCCAGTTTTAATAAATTCACGTTCACAAAAAAAAATTAATAAAATTATGAATTTCATGAAATAAGTACATACAACATATATTTTATTTAAAATGAAAGTGTTTAAAATGTAATTTTAAATCAAAATACCTAAGTAAAGAAAAAGTACAGAGGGTGATTAGATTAGGAAAATTGTTTACTTATGAAATTAGCCCATTTGCGCATAATGGAATTTAATCGCCTACAATGAATTCCTTTATTTTAAACTAAATTGTGCGCAGATAAAAGAAAACTTCATATTGAAAACAATGTCTTAAGCAAAGGCAGTTAAAAAAATCTACTACAGTGTGGTAGCGAAGTTGATTGAAAAATCTAGGTCTACAGTAGAACCTTGATTATCCGTGCTATGTCTAGGAATTTGTGGTGACACATTATTTTGTGTTTTTGTGCAGTAACCCTATAACATCATGTGTTGTGGCTAACACTTCTAATCTGCAGAAGTTGCAAATATTCTATTAGCCTACTTTGAGTTAGTCAACATTTTAAGCTTACGTAAAATATGTCAGAAAATAAAGAAAAACAGAAAATGTTAAATACGGCCTAAAATGATTGACTGTTTAAAACGTATAGCTAGGTACTTAAAATAAATGTACCTAAATTGCATTTTCAATGATTTTGTGCATGTTTACTTATATATTACTCCGTTTCTTATATTTTGATTATCCGTGTTTTTCAATTATCCGTGCTGTACTCGGTCCCATAGATCACGGATAATAGGTGATCTACTATAATTTGGTATAAACTGTAGGAGTGATTTTATTGTTTATGTTACCCAGCATATCTTTTTTTATTTAATACAGAGTCTATTTAAATATGTGAGCACAAGTGCTACCTGACATACAGGGTGATTCAGAACTTATCCAAACAAAAAAATTTTGAATGTGCAATGGACTCTTACAAATACAATTTTGTAAAGAAAAAATAAAAAAGAGCTGTTCGAAAATGATTTAAAAATACACTTCTGCATGGCACTGGAAACTGGTTCACTGTAAAACCTGCACATTGCGACCGGCATGGCGGCAAAGTGTCACAAAAACGGACAAAAACTCGAAAGAATTTTGCAAGAAAAGAAATATGTACCATGAATTGAATTTTATAGCACCTATTTTATAGCAGCTAATTCAACTGCTTTTTCCGCTATTGTTATTATTGATTAATTTAATTTATTTGTGGTTTTAAATAATACAAAAATTTGACATATAGTCTTTCCGAAGTCAGTTGAACATGTAAAAAAACGCCTGGCAATAAAATTTAATGAGTTTCACAGGCGTCCCTAAAAATGTTTTCTAATGAAGGTAAAAAATTATAATAATTTGTATATAATGTGCAGAAAATGTCTATTATATGTTCATTTGGCCAACAACATATTTTAATTATTTATGTCCTCAAACAATTTTATTATATTGATGGTAAATTTCCTTTTGTTCAGTTTCAAAAGGTCTCCAAAATGCCATGTTGTAATAATATTTCTCTCTTTCGCAATTGTAATATCAATGATTAATAGAAGGTGACTATAATAAATTCAAATTACCTGAATCACACCAAATTCCGCATTGCTGCACTGCACTGCTAGGCAATTTGTCGACCACTTGTCAACGGCTGAGATTTATTGCCCAGTAGCCCAATGCAACTGTATTTGTATTTCGTTTGCCTGCGCTCGCATTCTTCAACTGGGCGTATACATTTCTACCACCTCCACATTTAGTTCGACCAGACCTGTATATGGGTATGGCTATATAAATATGGGAACCAGTTGTTCAAATATTTTAATGCCGAGCTGCTGCGTCAGCAACCGAACCTGGTAGATACTGTCATTCTGTTGGTTCTTCAATAATTGATATCAGAAAAACTATACCTGATGTTACAACTGTTCAAAATTTTGTCCGCCGACTTGTAAACACATTTGGGTCTGTCGTACTCAGTTTCTACGAACTACACAAATGTTGTCTTGCTTCACCATAAATTAAAATGATATCCATCAACTCTGAATTGCTATACACGCAAGCCATTTTTGACACTAACTACTAAAAAACTATTGTAAACACTATCGCAATGATGTTTGTAAAATCAGATTTTAGTATTAGCCGGGGCCACGTGGCTCGTATACGTATTGCTTATGATGCTAGAGACCACAGTTGTCCAGCTATGTAGTGGTTGAAAGTAAGTACTACAACTTCAATAATTTTTTTCTCGGAAAATATAAGGATTTTACAAAAAATCTTTTACGATATTGACTATTTTTCATGGCGCATCTATTTTCAAATTTTTTTTAGATAAGTTGTGAATCACCCTGTATATTGAAAGATACAGGGTGATACAGACTAATGAAACCTCTCTCAACTTATTTAATTTGATATCAACCAGTGGGGGAGATTCTGGGAAACACACCAATATTTTGGAAAATCTGTAAGTTTATTTGATGCACAATTGTATTTTAAAGAAAAAATCTTAATTATTTTTGAAAAATTAATAATTGTCATGTTATTTTCTGTTGTTCTAAAATAAACTATACATACACTTTAATAAACTGAAAATAATTCCAAAACTAATTGACAAAACCAAGTATAAGAAAAAGAACAGTTTTGAATACAATTTTTTATGAAACGAACAAATTTAGATATATTTTCAATTTATTCAACTATAAAGAAAGCTTATTTTAGACTAAAAAAGAACCTCAAAAATTACTAATATTTTACAAATATAATTAAAGAGATCTTTCTTCTTTGAAATATAATAGGGTGGTTGCATTAAAAAATGTATAGCATTTTATCACTATATTTCTACAATGAAAAGTAATACAAAACTTATTTATAAGCAATTTCGTTAAACACTATAAATTTTTATTTGGTTTTAAAAATTGTTATTTCTAGACTATGAATATTGTTATTACAGAAAACTTCTTATTTAAGTAACTCTTCTTTGTTTTCTATTACTAAATAAATGGAGGATATGAGTATGAGATTTTTGTTGAGCTTCCTATTAATAGGCGGCATAATTAAGGTATAGTTTAGTAGGTCACAGCTGTCTGCAAAATTCATTTTAGTTTTATATATCTATTTTCATTTTAATTTCCAGTTAATGATTTCATACGAAAATATAACAATACAAGGTAAGTTTTTTTTGTCACATTATTTCATTTTCTGTTAATATCTAAAACCATGGCAAACCTCCCATTGCAAATTAAATAAACTTAAAACGAAAATGCCCAGGGTATTGAAATTCTGAGATTTAATGAGAGTGTACTCCTTCAGAAAATTTTTATCTTTATTTAGTTAAGTAAGATACGAACCTGTGTTTCATTAGTACACATCAATTATCTTTCGACATAATATTTGAGTGCTTGTGATATTTTTCAAAAACTTAAACACCATGCAACTTGCAAATGAACCAATTTTGGACTAAGATATATTTGGCCTCAAGATCAAGCCGAAGGTATATCTTGGCCTCGATATTGTCTAGTAGCATTTGGGTGTGTGTGTGTAAGTGTTCCAGTAAAATTTGACTGATTTAAAATCTTATACTTCTAAAATCTTTTACTACAGTCACCTGTTTTATCACCCAGGCTGTTATCCATTTTTCTTTTATAGATATTTACTCGTATATTCAATTCCCTCAGGTAGTGAGATTTCTAATTTACTAGGGCAGATTTTCTTATATATACATCCACATTCTACCTGCACAGAAACATGCAGACATCTGTTTTTGTAGTTTCACAGCCAACAAAATTCAAATTGAAAGATTCTACACAATATACAATGCATCTACAGTAATTGTTCGATAGGTTCCTACCTATACACCTTGGAACCTTTGAATTTTCTTATTTGTTTATTTTTCAGCAAAATTTATACATAATATTTTTTAAAAAGAATTATGTACCTGGCTAAATAATTAAATATTAGTATTTTCATATTAATGAAAAGGAATACATTAATGAAAAGTCTCATATTAACTGAAAGAATATTTTCGATATTGAAAGTAGAACGATAAAAGTTTTTTATAATAGAATACGCAAATATAGGTATGTTGGCAAAATTACTTTATTGCCAACTTTTATAACTGTTCGTATTTGGATTATCTGCTAAAGTTTAAATATATGCATTTATTTTAACAAAAATAGATCTGTGTGGGTCTAACTATTTAGAAATTAGATGACGCAAAATTGTTAGTAGTGTCAATTGTTTTCATTGATTGAACCCATATTAATTTAGTTAAATATAACATAGGTACCTATTTAATGTAATAAAACACATTTCCCTGATCTTATTTATTTACTACAAATCTGTATACGAAAGACTAATTAAATATTTAAGATAATGCTTATAAAAAAATTTTTATAAATATTTTTTTTTCCGTCGTTAAAATAAATTTATTTTCTGTATTTATTTTAAGAAACAATTTAAAATTAAGATTTAAATTTGGGATATTTTAGTTAGTACAAGTATATTGTAGCTTTGAAATTAAATTTTTTAATTTATTTAATTTATTTTTTTAATTTTTCTTATAAATTTATTAGCTTAATATGTAAAGGAACATTTATGTTGGCTGACAATAAAATATAGGTAATTATAAAAAAGGGTGATGTCAAAGATGATTACTTTGAATATACTTGTATATGTTGCTAAAATTAGAACTGCTACTTTTTAATTTACCAGGCTCTGTCCATCAATTTTTGTGGTATTTTTAGAGATTTAATTCAGCTTCTCAGCTAAGATGTAGGTATTTTTTTAATGCAGAAAAGGAAATCGTTTTTGTAAATTTTTAGAAATATGCAGTTAATAATTTTGCATTAGTTAAAATGTTTCACCCTTAGAAAATAAATGCTGAAAACTGTTAAGCAAAAAATTAAGTTTTGTAGATTTTATGATTCAACTATAAGCAGTTGTTTTAGTTGGCAAAGTTTTACAGAAAATATTTAACTTTTTAAATTAAAATATTTTTGTCCTTGAAATATACTGAAAAGAGATAGCGAAACGTCTTGGAAATATATTTATGATTAATATTAAAAAAAAAATGATATATCAAATTTTGTATTTTATTTTTATATGTATGTTTTTGGCGATTACTGATACTTTGTATTCAGATCCAATTTAGTCTATTATTAACACCTACTTAGTTATCAGTTTGGTAATTACCAAGTGAAGATTGAATTTGCAACATTTGTGAAACAGCAAATTTTTTTAGTAGTCTCGTTGAGTGAGAATTTCTCACACAACGATAGTATTAAGTATTTTATTTACACTGTTCAGAATCTTGATGTTTAAAGTAAAATTTTTGTTGTTCAGAATAATTGTTTTATATGCATTTAACAATTTTTAACAAAAATACATTGTTAAAAATTTGATCAAAAAATTGTGACATTTGTTATGTATACAGAATGTCCCAATATTCTGTGTATATAGAACTACTGCAGATTCTTGGTATCAACATAAGACGGTTTAACTAAATTTACCTCTATCCAAAGTTGCTTAAATAGATTTAATTTAAATCAAACAAAGCGTTTTAAAGTTATTTGGAAAATCTTTACATTTTTTTCAAAGTTCAAGGCACTCTAGTGGCTGAACGAAGCACAGCGGTTAAGATTAATTAAATCTTATTTTGGTGTCAAAAATCTACTTACCTACAGTAGTTCCATGCACATGAAATATTGCAATATCTTGTATAAATTTGGTCAGTTTATTAGTAAAATTTAAACCTATCAAATTTTAGAATAGATGTCAGTGATATCAGTAAACCACAAACCATTATAGACTTGCAATTTATGTGAGTGTGACAACTGACAACCACAATAACAAAAGTGTGTATGTGACCTATTTTTAAAGTATTTCAAATAAAAACAAATGTCAAAATTCTACAATCTAATTAAAATTGATATTAAGTGTCTTCCAAAATTAGTCAATAATTTGGAATAAGTATAACAACTCTTCTTTTGTATCTTAATGCTGATCTTACAAATCTTACAGGGTGTTGCATTTAAATTAGCAAAGTTAACATCCGTGGCTATTTTGTTTAGACTTCATTTGTTTTTGCACTAGCATTTTCGAAAAGTTCATAAAAAATCGTGCAACTTTTGTATTTCACATTTTTGTATAATTCTAAGAACAAAAAAGTTAATGGAGGGGGAGTCAAAATATAGTGAGTCACCCTGTAGTTAAATTTATTTATAACTTTATTAATGATTATTATAAATTATTTATACTAAAATTGTGTCGTCCGGATTTAGACATTTTTTATGCAAAATTTTTGTACATATTTGTTGCAAGAAAAATTTGCATGCTATTTAAACTTGTAATACACAGTTCTAAGGTTTTTTAATGAGTACACAAATTTTGTATGAAAAATATTGTCATGTATTAAGGCCGTCCATATACATAAAATAAATAAGGGCTGCTTTACATGGCAATATTATTTATACAAAGTTTGTGTATGCATTCCAAGAAATATTCAGATATTTGAACTTGTTATAGTAAACCTTATGACTGTGTATTGCTAGTTAAAATATAAGAAAAAAATTTCTTGCAATCAAAATAAATTTTCATGAAATATGTTGTGATTACCCTTAGGAATACCTTTCTACACTCTTCTGTATCTATTGCATTATCTAGAGATATTCAAAATGATTGAAGATAATGTCATGAGAAAAAGTTTTTCTATATCAACCAATAAATTACCTCCTACTGTCAAAAATTGTATTTATTTTGACATAAGCTGAATAGGGACAAACAGTCTAATGTCAGAGTCAAGCATTTATTTTTAGTGTGTTATTCTATGATCGAAGATAGAACAAGGCATGCATTTTTATAACTTTTATTAAAATAGCATGTTCATTGTTTATCATCCTATTCAAGCACTGGACACTGAACGAATCAATAAACTCTCTAGAACATATGATTAAAATCTGATCAACTTGATACCTTTTCCAAAAGATTTTTAAATTTAACTGGTACCCTTTCCGTATGATATCATTGATCCTAAACAATTGGGTTAATCTGAAAAGTCCTAATGACAACAACAAATCATTATCTGCTAGTATTGCCAAATATGACAATAAAAAGTATGAAGTGAACATCATGTAACTTATTTCTAGATAGCAGCATGCTCAACTATTGTGAATTTCCCTGTATATAAATTCGTTTTTACAGGTTATCTCCTAGGCCCCGCAACATATCACCCCCTCCAGGGGTTGCCTCTGCCGACTCACCAGATCCCAACTTACATATGTTCAGAGAAGCCTTAGTAACGTCTCCACTTTCTTGCGTGTCCCGGGGTTCAGATCTGTGCGCCTTCATTACAGGGGAGATGGCACGTCACACGAAGAGACCAGCAAGTCCATCGGACGTAACGATGGGTAGCCCGACCCAACAGAAACGGCCTCGTTACATGTGAAATTCATTAACTGTAAATACAATTTGTGCTAGTTCTTTCCCAGTTTCAGGGGTACATATGCTTCCATTTGTATACGTTTTTATACCATTCTCTAATTGAGTGATCATCACCTTTGCGTAGTTGTTAAATTATTGATATTCCTTAAGTTGCTTTTCATCCTATTTTTATTAAAAAATTAAACAAAACTTAAGATTATTTGCCTTAACTACCGAATTTTGATATTAAGTAATTATTTTTCTATTTACAAAAAGTGAAAACAGTATTTTTAAACCTTACGACAAACTTATTTAAATTTTTAAAAAGCATTGGTTTCAACTAATTGAAGATACCATATGTTGTCTTTTTAATACAGTTTGCAAGAGCTTCATTTGATGGTAGCTTGTAGGTATATTTTAAAAGTAATTGCCTCCAAATATATTTTGTCTGTGATATATGATCATTATGATACTGAAGTGGGCTGAACTTAAAGAATGTTTGATATTGTTTGATAAAAATTTCAGCCTTAAATTTCAGTGTTGCAAATCTCTTAAGTCTACAAACTAACATAAATTCATAAAGGGCTATTTTTTTGCCAAAAATGCTTGGACACATTGATTTTTTTAATTGTCCATTTTTTAATAATGATTTTATATATATACAGGGTGACCTATGGAAAAACTTGTGTGCCTTCCATGACTTTTTAGAATGAAAAATTTGTTGTCTGCAATCTATTTGAAAAGTTTTCCAACAAACTTGCATATTGAACTTAACTTGGTATTGCAATTGATTGCTTTGGAGCCAAAATGGCAATGGCCAAAATGGGTGCCATTTGCTTTCATGTTTATTATATTACAAAGAAAATTAATTATTTAACTCCTTTTTTTGGACTCAAAGTGAAGAGCTTGCAGTTCTCTCGTAAGGGGTAACGCCACTCTAGATATTGGAAAAAAGGTGATGTTTGGGAATTTTCAAAGAAAAATCAATACAAGATATAGTGTCGGGAACAAAACAACTATAAGCACTCCTGCAGTGTGCTGCAAGTAGTTGCAATTCACCTCTAAGAAACTCCTTCCCAATTTTTTTCTTCACATAATAAAGCATCGTTTAAGAGGGGAAACCACATTAGGAGACTGATTTTCAGGCGTTCTTCATGAATTTTTTTGAGTGGGACAAATTACACTTATTTTACTAATGTTTTGAACTACATTTACAAATTTTTTCAAGTTATTTGTGTTGAAAATACAGAAGTTATGCGCCGTTGTGCACCGAAGGTCGTCGTCTGAGTTGGTTGTTCACGGAAAATGTGGAGGTCACAATTTTGATCTGAAAACAAAATGGTTGTTTTCCTGCATTATTGACATGTTTTCTATGAACCTCAGTGCGGGTAAAAATGGTGAAAATTGAAATTTTGACACTTCACCATTTTTTTCACATATTTTGAACAAAAAACCCTTAAAATTATAATAAATTCCCAATTGTTGGTTCACGTTCTTTGTAATTTCATAAAGAAATACGTTTCAATTTTCATAATGATCGGTTCATAATTTTTTTGAGCTAGAGTTCCCCTGAATCAAAAAAATGTCATTTCGAGAAAAACGTGTGAAAATTTCCGAAAGCTATAAATTTGAGAAAGTTATCAATAATACAGGCTATAAAATATTTTACACACTTAACATAGCAATTGAAACAAACACGAAAGTACTGAGTGACCCAGATAAGTTTTTTAATTTTAAAAAATGAACGATTAAAAATTTTTCAAGGAAGAGACATAGCGTATAGATTAGCTGAAAATCTTTTTAAAGAAGCCTTCCTCAAATAAAAAATAAAATTGATAGTACAAGCAAGTACTCCAGTCAACCTATATATCTATAAATTTTTAAAGAAAAAAACCGGTCAAATAAGTCAATGTGTAGAAGAATTTCTTTAAAAGAATTAAATTAATTACTATTGAATAATTTTGTGAGTTTTATGACTAATTTATTTGGAGTAAACCATTTTGTTTATTACAAAATGCGATATTAGTTTCTTTCTATATTTGTTTGGGTATTTTTTTTTACCATTTGTGAAGAGAAAATTAGAAAATTTATGAACATCCCAAAAGGACCAGTCGAGGGCTATTTTTATGAAACTATAGTAGAATCGTATTCGATGCAAAGTAAAGCAAAAAATTATTAGTCTTTTATCAAAGGAAAATCGTGTCACCATTTTTAGGACGCGTATGATGAACCATTTCAAATTTAAAATGAAATTGAATGGAAAATCTGAAATACCACATCATACGCATTGTGTTCTGGTAGTAGCTGTAGGCGCCCAGGTACATCGAGTGTACGAAGTGGACGGTTATATGTCAAATACTAACCTGGCGAGCTTGGTCGTAAATCAGAGACCGCCTCCAAAAAACAAGTAAACAACAGTGGCGCGTACAGAGTACTACAGTAAAATGTAGTACATATGTGGAATTTAAAAAACAAATTGGATTTAAAATAAATAGTTTATGAGAATAAAGGAATTTTTGTAGGAACAGGGGTGCCAGAGGTGAACTGATCCCCTCATCCCTTCATAGTGCATAAAGAAATTATTCAATTTCTAAACCCCTTAAAACCGTGTTGTACTGAATCCCTTGACACGCAATGATTTATTACTTTGCATCAAATATGATCTTACTATAGTTTTGTTTAACCAAAACTCCCTCTGAAAAATGCAGACAAATAAAAAATACACGTCACTATACATCACGTACTTGCATAAGTTATTAATCTCTCAAAAATTAAGATATTTTTTATTGCAAAATTGAGAATGTTTGTTTTGGCAATTTGAATTTAAAATGTTCGTTGAAATGAAAACGTTATTCCCAATTCTGAAAACGGAAACAGATTGATTATAGAAACGTCAATAATTTATGAAGTACCATGATTTATATTGATGTGTATATTTTATTTGTTTGCTTTTTTCAATGTGAAATTTTTAGTAGGCAAAACTATTTCATTAAAATAACCCTTCACTGATCCTTTTGGTGTCTCTCATTATTTTTTTTCCACAGGTGACGAAATACCAAAACAGATAAACAAAATAATACATTTTTGGAAACACTATAGCTTATAGTTATTATTTTTAACTAAAATATGCAAAACTCAAAAAAGTACTTTTTAGATGTGTGATTTTATAAAGTGTATACAAAGGAATCTTATAATTATGAAACGGAAGAATCTTATTTATTTAATAATAATTATTAGAGATGGGCATAACAAATTTTCTTTATTTGGATGCTTCTCATTTTTGTAAAATTTTCCAGGAAAATTCTCGGGATATTTTGTTAATATACATTTTCCAAATTATAAAAACATTCTTGGCATTTTAAGATTTTTGTTTAACTTTTGAAGTTTGAAGTTGAATTTATAGAAAACACGTAATTAGTTTATTATTACCAAAGTGTAATAACAATATACAGGGTGTTCGGAAATAGTGGTACTTTACTTTGAAGGTAGATTTGTTGACTCAAAATAAGACAAATATTTCATATAAACTTGGATCCACAAATCCGCCCTATGGGAGGTAGATGCGTTTGAAGATAACTTTGAAGGAGAGGGATAAGTTTTGGACGATAAGTTGCTACTAAAAAACATGATTATTGAGGGAAATAGTTGATGCAGATTATAACCCATGGCGTGCAAACCGGGGGAGTATGACCACATTTTTATCACAAAAAAAAAAATTGTTAATTTCTGGATATTTTTGCACTACCAAATAATTCTTTGCACTTTAGTAGTAACTTATCACTCAAAACTTATCCCTCTCCTTCAAAGCAGTTAAAAGTTATTGACAAAAACACATTTATTTAAGGTCATCTTCAAAGGCGTCTACCTCCGGTAGGGTGGATTTGCGGACCCATGTTTATATGAAATTTTTGTGTTATTTTGAGTCGACAAATCTACCCTCAATGTGAAGTACCACTATTTTCGAACACCCAGTATAATTAAAGATGAATAAGAATTAGTATGCCTCAAAATTAATATGTAAATGCGAATTTGTCCATAATTCCAGCTCCAATATTTTTTAAATATTTGAATCTGAAGTTAATTTATTACTGTCTAACTCAACACTTATTGTTTATTACTGTCTAACTCAACACTTATTTTTACACATTCTAATGTTCTTAAAACTTCAAAGCAACTTTGAAATACTCCAATTTGGACATCAAAGGCCAGTTGTGACATTCTGAACTAGATATTTTTCGGTTTTATAGAATATCTACTAAATTTGTAAAAAATGCAATATATTTCTGGAAAGGTAAGTTAAGTATGACCACTCAATTCCTGGGAATTTAAAAAAATGGGAACTTTGCTGTCTCTAATTATGCATTGCCAATACTGTATGTATATATACGATAAAATCAATTTTATTTAAAAGAACTAGCATGAACGGTGTAAATAGTAATTTGTTTAGACTTAAATATTATAAAAGTTATTGCTAATATATTAATTTTTTTTTCATAATGTATAGTTGGCAAAAAAGTGTACAGTAAAAACATTCGGGTTGTATTTAGCTGAGGACAATTTTCATTTGTAAATATTTTATTTCCTTTCTTTCTAAATATCTATCGAATCTTGCTTTCAAATATAATGAGTAAAACTGAAACTTTTCCTTTGTAAAAAGAGATGTATTTATATTTCCACTTGATTGTTGTAGCCGAGAGCAGTTTATGTAATTAATTATGTAACAAAGCCTTATTTTCATGTGTTGTTAGATGTTAGTACTGCACATATTTTATTAATTTTGTAACTTTTTTTTTTTCATTAAGCGAATTTGTTGAACTTTTATGAAATCCAGTCCTTCGGGTGATCACGGACAGTTCCAAATTTAATATTGCACCGGTTAGAAGTGAATTTGGAACTGAAAGAATTGTCTTTTAGGCAGGTACTTCCTTGTTTTCATTTTATGTTATAAATTATGAGTGCTGAAATTTGGATCTAAATATACAATTATTACAATTCTTAGTTTAATTTATATCTTAAACACTATCTATAATAATAGTAGCAAGTAAATATTTGAACGGGAATTATTAGCGAATGCAGCTTTAAGTTATGTTGTAGCGGAAAATTGTGAAGCCTTCAATCAAACTCAATGTTTTACAACATCTGTCATTTGTTTTGACACATCCTTCAAGTTTTAGATTAACCTAATTATTACGAATTATAACTATTTTTCTAATTTCATTCACTGATCGAAATCAATTGGTTTATTTCGATTGAATATGAATTGATTGTAAAAGTAAAATGAAAAAAGTTGTCCATCAATTATTGTGCTGCGAATCCAGTTCTTGATCCATCAAAAGAAAAAGGAAAAGTTGCAGGAAGGTTAGCTGCAAAACAATTTCAGTGCAACAGAGTGGCTGTATCGAGAATTTGGAAATGTGCTTCTGAAAATAACTGTTAAGGAGAATGCTAATGAATTCTTTGAGAAAAAAAATAGACCAGGGCGGATCTGTTTTGAGATGGATGTGAGAGGGGGCAAGCAAATTTTTTCTGGATTACCTTCAGTACAACACAATAAAAGTGTAGATCCCTAGATCTGGGCGAGGTCCGGAACATTTCCAAAATTGCAAAAATGTTTAAAAAATTTTAAAAAATACCTATTTTTTACTTATATTTTGAAACCTACATTTTGGAAGAATATTGAAGAGGAAAAATAGTTTTAGAATTGAATTTTGCACAATACACTGTAAGTTAAAAATGTTTAAATTTATTATCGATGTTGCAAAATAGCAATAATTGATGAAAAAAAAGGCAAAATAAGGTTTCTTGTATATATATTTTTTAAATACTTTAATTGCTCCAAGGGCATTCTAATTTTGGTAAAAAAACTTTAGAGAGAACGAATTGAAAAAATCACCGACCTTTCTAAACTACCCTCGAGCCACCAGGACGACACCCCTCAGGCATAGCAACCCCTGCGTCATCGTCCTATGCCAAAGCCTCCCTGACACCGCCGACGAGAGACGAAATAAAAAATGAGGATGGATCGACACCAAAACCGTCTCCTGCAAGACCTCCGGGTCGGAATTAAATCTGTCTAGTTTCAGATAACCAACTACTACCGAGCGACCAGACCAGGCGAAGATGCAAACGTCGCAAGCCAAAATGAGATTGTAATTGCACAATTGCAGTCTATCAACCAGGGCACAGTGCCTGGTGAGAGTCTAGGATTCGCCGTTCTGAAAGAATTCCCATTCATAGCATTTTGTTTTATTAATCAGCATTCAAATAAACGATATATATTTACCTTATTCTTGAGTTATTATTTCTCTATAAAAAATAACCAAACCTCGAGTTCTAACGCTCTCAGCATCACGCTGAATCAAGCTTCCTAGAAGCTTCAGTACCGCACTTCAAGGAGTCGATACACAGTGAATAAATCATAGTGAACCAAAGACAGTGACTTCCAGACACTAGGGTATCAGATCTGAACCAAGTGCATACAGGCCCTACATAGGGGGACACAAGAGCCCGAACCACGTTTCTAATTGTTCTAAATTGGAAACCAAATTTAGTGAAGTGCTCCAACGGAGATTTCACTTTCCCTCGATGATGGCCGTAGGGCGGTGCATCGAAGAACGAGATGCTAGGGAACTCTCCAACCCCCGAGCAGGCTACTAACGCAGTGACTGCCACCGGAGGTGAAGAGAAACCATGGACATTACGATTCTTCTCATCCCATTATAAGGGTCTACGACCCGTTGACGTGGCGCCCAACGTGGACCGAGACCAATAACGTGGGGCTATGTTGCTGAACGAAACTAAGACTAGAGAAAATCCGCAACAATAAAATCTTTATGAAACAGTCTGTATAACGAAACCGCCAGCACTTGGCTAATATCAAAATAATGATTAAATTACGCGATCAAACTTTTTTCAAATATAACCAAATAACAATATCACAGAATTCTTGACTTTCTTAACAACTCCATAATTTTGTAAACTCTTAAGGCGCGTATAGATTTGCGAGCTGAGCGGCTCATGAGCCGCTAGCGTAACGTGTTGCCAGTGTAGACGGGGTTTTGAGCGTGGTTCGAGCCGACCTTGAGCCGCTCGCTGCGAGCCGACTGGAGTCGGTTTTTCCGGCGAGCACAAAGGGATGCTAAGTGTCAGTTTGGACAGCAGAACTACTTGCTCGCAAGTGTGTATTTGATTTATTAATCAAACCATCGCGGCCTTGCCGGATGAAGACGTACTTTTGTACTTGTGCCATTTGCAACCATCATAGCAAACAGAGTTTCTTGTTCAGACACCCTTCAAACGAATACCCAAACTAAATGGTGCCGTGGATTTGCTCGCGAGCAATGCCGGCTCACTTAGTGCTCAT